GTAAAAAAAGAAAAAAAAAAAAAATCTAAAAATGATAAAAAAAATGGATTGCAATGGATTGATCACCCTATATGACATTTTTCCTTTTTTGTATAGATAGTGTATGTTGCTACTTATGAATAGCCCCTTTAAGAGGCTGGGAAACCATTTTGCATGACATTTTTTTTCTTTTTGGGAAATTTGCTGATTACCTTGAAGAATTTGTCTAAAGTATATATATAAAGGAGAATCTCATACATGTTACAACTTGTTCAATGATTTGTTTGCATTTGCTTCTCTTAGTAGCTTATTGTGATTGGTAATCATGTCCTTAGAGAATGAAATGGAAGCTTATTGTCATTCAAGTTAATTTATTTTCTCTGTGTATTTGAAAATATGATCAAATTTTAACTTTCAAATTCAATAATTGATGATATATTTTATATCTCTATGGATGAAATAATGATCATAATACAGATTTTATTGAGAACAAGACATGATATTATTTATTCATGTTAAAATTATGACATAATAATGAAATTGAAGTGCTTAAGCATGGATCTGTTATCAGGTAAGGATGATTGTTTATTTATTTATTAATATTTTAAGAATGCATAAGGATGGTTATGTGTGGCATATAAGAGCAAGTTGAATAGAAAATTTCGAGCACGAGGAGAAACTCTTCTACTTTAACAAATCTAGTTTAAAAGGGTCCACTCTTCTAGCTTAAATGGTATATATCACTGATTTATAAATACATTGGTTAAATTGTGAATTAAATATAATATTTTATAATTTAGTCACAATTCTATTGGTGACGGCCGGAACTTTGGGAATATCAAAAGGTCAAATCCACCTATAGAACACCAAATTCAAATTTGATTTCTAGTGTTCTATATGATATTAGGCTAAAAATAGCCTCAAAGAAATATATTGGTCAAATACCAAACCTAGGCCGATTACAATAAAAAGAACATGAACCTTTTATGTAATTCAAGACGTTATTTAATAACCAATTTAAGTATTTAGCATAACGTTGGAGTCTAATTCAAGACGTTATTTGATGTAGCAAATTTAACATAGCGTAGAGTATATATTGTATAAAAAAAGAACTCAAATGACCGAATTACTGATGTTACATAATGTGGAGTCTGCCATATTTAATGGAATATTTTAATTTCACACTCTATCAAAAACTTTAATAAGTTATAATATTAAATTAAATTTTTTTAAATATGATCGTTGTATTGCGCCATATCTATCATTATATAAAAAGAATAACCTTTTTACAAATTTAGAAACATTTTCCCCCCAAAATCATTAAATATATCCTACATATAGTAATTGTTGGACAAATCTGAATAGGCAAAAAAAAAATCGGCTCATTAATTGTGTAAAGATTTATTTTTCTTTTTCCTGTTTTTTAGTTTATCAAAATCGTTGTTTGGCGATAAATATTTGTTTTTCTTTTTCCTATTTTTAGTATAAATCTACACGAGCTTATCTCTTCTGTTATAAATATTTTTAGCACACGTCTCACGTGTTTAAAAAATCTCATCTCTTATCTATACAGATTTGAAAAAATAAAATAAAATGGAAACCAATTAATAATTACTACTAGAAATCCATTATCTTTAAAAGAAAAAATAAAATAAAATAGAAACCAATTCATAATTACTAATAGAAATCCATTATCTACTTTAAGAAGCTAATTTCATCGGTCTAATTACTAATATTTTTACAAATATTATAAGCTAACCATACAAAAAAGTATAATAATAATTTTGCAACGGTGTGTAATCAAATTTTCTTATATTCTCTGATACAAAATAATTTTACATTGTTTGACCCCAAATCTTTAATTTATAATTATTAAGTATCTTTAATTTATAATTATTTTTTTTTTCTTTCTCTTTTTAAATAGGATCAATAGTAGTTTCCACTTCCGCCGTTGAATGACTCAAACTCGAGGTCTATTTATAATATTGTTAATTTAATATTGTTTCCGTGCATCACACGGGGTACACACTAGTTCTGATTATATAAAATCCATTCATTATCAATCATAAACAACAAAGTTTATATTCCTATAGTAACAATTTCTTGAATCTTTGCCAAATGATCTCTGCATAATGAAGGTGTTCATAACTCGTCCACATTTTTGACATAATTATAAACAATTGCATCGAACGTGTGGAGTAGTTAATCTCAATCATCACTTAGTAAATTAAAGGTGGGCCTAATTAATTTGATATATTATATATATATATATATATTTATATATATATATATATGCTATATTGTGCAATATCTGAAATACATGTGGACATCAAATGATAATCCACATATTATAAAAGAGCAACAATCAATTTTAACAATATTTTTATTCATATCATCATGAAATACACTACTAACAAGTGGTTGACTATTATTATTACACATAAACATAGGGAAGGTCAACCCAATTTAAGGTCCCTATTTTGCACCAAGTCACAATGTAAGAGAAAACAAACCCAAAGGGAACACTAAAAATGAAACATTACTTTCCTTTATATAACACACACATACACACATATATATAACTATAAATATAATATAATAATTTAAACAAGTTGAAGGCCGGTATCATATACGACCCCGGCCTTCCACTCATTCGGGATGACACGTAGCAACTCCACCCACTTTACAAACTGGTCACCCGTGCTGAGTTGGAATCGAATATTAGCGATGACAAGTGGCGGATTTTCCATGTCCCACACTGTACCATACACCCTCCGCATGGCCCGCCACTCTTTACACTCCTCCACCCACACTTGGGCTCCGGTCACGTCGTAAGCCCCACCTTGGTAAAGGGGCACGACTGCCAAGTAGGACGGGTAGCTGCTGTGCTCGTGGACCTTGAGAAGGAGATTTGAAGAGCCGAACTGGCACGGGACTCGTCGATACTCCACATCGACCACGCCGTAATCGAGCAGATGGGCAGCTGCGTCCGGAGAGGATGCCAGGCTGGCGTACGCTCTGGCGGTTAGAATGAAGTCTGTGTCGTGGCCTTCGCCATAATCGGTGACCACGATCTTGATCCCATCCTCGGTACACGCAGATGGGATTTTGCATCGGACCTGAATATAATGTATTATGTTTTAACATTAGTTTATAAGGGTGTTTGTAATGTATATACTATATAGTACTAAGAGTGCTTGAAAAGATAACTTTTTGACTAGGGTTTATGATAGAAAATTTAGTTTGTTTTTTTTTTTCTCAAAATTAAACACCAATTTGGGTGTGGGTTTGGATTGCAAAATCAAAAGTTGGGTTAGTAAATGAAAAAGCCATTTTCCTTTTTGTTTTGTGCTAAAAGTTGGGAGCTATTGTGGTCCCCACACGCTTTTATTTAAGATGTCAAGTGTGCTTAGTTTATGATTGTGAAGTGTGATTTTTAAAAGACTATGTTATTTCATTTTGAATTGAAACATTAGGTACCACAATAAATTTGAACTTTTTAGTTTAATACTACCTAGCTATCCAATTGAATACTTTGAAGCAAACCTTGTTTATTGAGAAAAATGAGTAATTTGAAATCAAATTGATCTTCCAATATCCCCTACATGTAGGAAGTAGACTATTTCTAAAACATGCAGGGGATAGATGAATTGTACTACATTATTATATATATAATACGTTTTGAACATATTCATACAAGTTTATAATAATTACCTGATAGCATGCACCACAACCACTTCCATTCCTGTAAAGCCTCGACACTCCACTCACCAAACCATTGTTCACTGTCCTCCCATATTCTCCAAATCCACATGCTCCTCCTGAAAAATTATTATTCTTCAACATTTATTTTCAATCATTAACAAAAATGTTTTGCTATGTTATGAATTACCCACGAGATACATATTTTTTTAGCACGGACGTTAATGAATATATATTCAGTGGCGTGCTCCATTATAAGGTTTTCAAGACTATATTTATACAAAATATCTTATAAAATGTAGTGCTTCCAAATAAAATAATTCGAACACAATATTAATATATGTGCTTTTCGTCTTATATTATTTTCTTATCTTATACAAACATAGTCTAGAAAAATAACACCATATAGTAATGATCATATTTTATCTTATACTCCTAACGTTTAGGTGGTTGGAAAATCTCGATAAATATGATATTAAAGCAAACGTAAAACACAATCGAGTTTATCGACGGTAAATACACATATATCTGTAATCATCGAGTTTTTTACCGTTGGATCAATAAATACACACATACCCAAACGGGTGTGTGTTGATTCAATGGTAAAAAAGATTGTATTGAAATGTACGGCAAATTAAACATAGAGAGAAAGTGAAATAAAAGAATCATACTAGGATTGCCCAAGCAATCAGGACTGCCATAATAGGTTGCTCTTGAGCAGATGTACCCATCATCCCCATAACAAAGGGATGCAACAAGTACCAAATAAACAATGTTGTACTTTGAGAACATAAGGTTGTACTCATGTTTGATACCCATATTTTTGCAAACACAAATTAGATGGAAAAAAAAAATCAGAGGAAAGAAATAAGTGTGTGTCTTTGCAAATTATTAGAAACTACCTAGAAAAGAAATTGGTGTGTAATCTATGTGACTTGGAACATCTTATTTATAGCTCAAATTTTGAACCACCACACACTAACGCACTCATATTATAATTTTAATTTCACTATTTTTAAAAAAAATGGTATTTTTGCCAATTTGAGGAGTGGAAGTGATTATCAAACAGCTGTCCTGGGAAAGCAGAACACCTTCATTGACTCTTTATTAGAGGCTTATAGATAGTGCATCACTAATCATAATCGTTTAGTAAAAAGTTAGATAAATATAACTTTTATATGGTAATTACACAAAATTGAATGTTACTGACTTACTGTAGAGGAGTTGTTTCTTTGTGGTTTTAGGCCGACAATTTTTCACTATAAACCCTTCGTGGCATTTTCATCTGTAAGAGGATCTTAGGTGCAATTAGGTATTTTTTTTTCTGAATTTTTTTTTTCCGGTCGAAAAAGTGAGATGAAAAAAGTAGAAAATTTATTTTTAAAATAATTGAAGTAAATTTGAGTTTGTAAATAGATATGTAATATAAAAGTAATGATTAAAATTGATGAGACATAAAAATAATAAAATATTAATTAATTAGATAGATAGTTAGAAAAATGAATAATTTTCTTCATTGAAATTATATAATATTAATTCTTTTATTGTTTCTGATTGTGTAATTGAGATTTGTATTAAAAATACGACATAAAATTAATGATAATTTTGTACTTCTTTTCTTCTTTTTTAGTTTCAATGGATAAATCTTGGGGGCCACCTATAATTTCTTGAAGACCTCATCATCAAGATAGACCCATTAAGGGAATTTCCTTTAGATCATAATTAAAAACCAAAGCCTGACTAACCCGGCTCATTTGGTTGGTTGGATTGCGTAGGATATATGATTGGATAATTTTATCCTGATCTGAATCCATGATCCAATTTGTTCCAGATTCACCTGCCTGTGACATCAACCTTTTTATCCCAGAATTCAAAGGCCCAATTGCAAATTAGGTGCAATACCTAACATTGTTAGTTTGTATCCAAAGTTTTATCATTTGAGGCCAAAATGAGATGAAAGTAGTTAATATGATAGAAACTCGGTGGATTGGACCACTCTTTGACATCCATAACCGGTAGAATATTGGTCCACTCGCCTTTATGTTTGCTTCTCATGGTAATTTACAGGATACAAATGATAGTTAATTTTTGCCTCATTTTTACAAAAATGATAAGTTTATTTCAGTTGGAACAAAGTTGGGAAAATAATACATATAGTGCGGCAACATATGCTACAATATTACATTAATGTTGAAATAATTGTTAGACCGTCACACTTTAATTAACAATTATACATATGTTCATATTAAAATATCATGTTTTAAAATATGGAAAAGCCCTAAATTCAGAGAGGTGAACATATGGAGGAGCACTAGGCGTATTCGAGAACGTTAATTGCTATGTGTGTATGTTCATTTTCATGTCAACTCCACTATATATATACTGTGGAAATGAAATTAATTAGGTGGCAATTGCATTTGTCCTTTTGGCTGTTTGTGCTTGTCAATTCCTCTATTTCTCAAGGCACAACTCATCTGTTTTCCTCATTAATTGGTCACTTTTAGTTTCAGATGTGTGTACAAGTGTAGCACTATAATACATGCACACAGGACTGATCAATGAGTTTTCATAATTGAACATATCATTATTGACAACGTCACCATTCTATAGTATATATCCATCATTTCTTATTTTTATTATTATCATTTCGTATCTAGAAAATTAAACATTATAGCTGGCAATCTCCTAATTGTCGACATTAATCAATCACTAGAAACTTGTTCTTTTTTGGTTTATTATTATTATTATTTCATCATTTCTTCCACTCTTTCTCGCCTGATTTGATGGTTGGGATGACAAATCATGATATTGTATCACTTCACTGCTATATTTTTATGTTATCGATTTTATGTGATTATAAATATGATTAAACATTCAAATTTAATTACATTCTTATTTCATACTTTTGTGCCAATTTTCAAGTCGTGTCATGTCGTGCCGTGCCGATTTAGCCATTTGTTTTTGTAATCATATTTTTGAATCGTATCATGACGTCTATCTCTAATTGATGTAGGGTGTTTCAGCTAAAGGTGAGAACCAAAAGAGGATAATAAACTAAATCCACATTGGGCTCAATTCTCGCTTTTCGTATTTAATTTTGGGCCATAAATAATTGGGCTGAGGTTAAAATACATAATACCTTGGGCCCCAAAATAATAGTGTTCAAATTAGGCTTTTCCTTGTTGTTTCTTTATTTATGTGAACTATTTGAATCATCTGTTGTAGATAAAATTGGCCTACATAACTGCCACAGAAAAAAAAATATCCATGAAAATTATCAACTACCAAATTCCAAAAACGCAAGAAACACTTTCAAAATAAATTAGGGTGTGATTGGATATAAATTTAATTAATTTTTTATTACCTTTGTTAATTTTGAAAAAGTTTATGTGGTTAGTTGTTAGTCGATGTTTAAGTTTAAATTAAAATAATATTTAAAATAAAATAATTAAAATTAATTTGATATAAAAGTATGAGAGACATGATATGAGTCAAATTCGACTCTTAACAAATCAAGCTTGAGTCGAGTCAAACCAGACTCGTTTAATTTAACGCGCTACCTATAATTAAAAAAATTAAGATAAATTTATGTTATATCTCATTCTTTCCATTCCNTAAAATTACGTCAAAAAATAACTATTATTGGCTGATTCTGTTGATGACAGAACAGTACATTTCACCTCACAGACATTCTTCCTAAAGTCTGGTGAAACTATCAAATCAAAATGTGCACAAGTTTTTTTCCCACTAAAGCCCAGAAGAAAACAAAGATCTGGTTATATTGCAGCATAAGTAGGTTTGCAAAAAATATCGAGTTACCAGCACCAGCTACGTATATTCTTCAACAAGGGCCCCCGCTTTCATTAACTTCCACGAATGGTCGACCAAAAAAACTCAGGAAGAATTTTGTCCAAGCCTTTGCTGCCTCGTGTACTCCCACAGTGCAATAGAAGCACTGACGTGAACATTTAGAGACCGAACGATTCCCAACTGAGGAATTTCGATACACGCATCCAACATGTGGATTATCTCCACAGGAATACCTCCCTTCTCATGGCCAAGAACTAATACCTGCGAGAAAAAGAACACCCAATCACCTTTTATTTTTTTTTATTTTTTATTTATTTTTTTTAACGAAAACAAGGTTCAACTAACGGTTATCATAGATACTCTGGAATTGCTATCTTACAGTTACCATACATCACCTCTCCCCTATAGCCAAATCAGAAGAAAACAATGCGCTCAAAAATTACTTACTGAAGCCATGACAGGCAATGTAAATTGAGATAATAATATAAGTATTTGAATAAATCTATATAGATTAATAAAGCATAACCATATGGATAATATGTCGGAGCATAATGATATAATTAAAGTTATAAAAATCTCCGGTTCAAGTAAAAGCTATAACTTGCTAAACAAGAATCTATCTGCAAACACAGTTCTCTAAACTCAAAGGGTACAATAAAATGAAGAGTATTTATAATAAGTTGAACTGTGCATTCCCACCAGATCAAGTCAATCATACAACTGAATCCTAAATTTTGCATGTCAACCATGAGCACCTCGAATGATTTGTTTTAATAGCATAATGTATTTAAAAACCAACCCCATAGCATTCTATTGTCAAGCCTGATGTGACTAGGACTTACCGATTTCCTAGGAAACTTGTATTGGTGCAGTGGGAAACTATTTGCAGTTTGCTCCAGACCTAGCAGAGCATAACCTGCTTGCTTCTTCTTCTCCAAGAATGTTTTCATACTCACCACGGGGACTTCCAAGATAGGAACCCACTTCTCTGCTGTTATACTGATAAATAAAACAAAAGTGAGTCAGTTGCTATATTGAACAGAGCCAAAAAGTATTATCGTAACATTTATGCTTTAGATACAAAATACATCCCTAAATTTTAGGAAAATTACAGAAAAAATCAGTTCTCTTTTAAAATTACAAATAACCCTCTGAAATTTATTCTTTTCATGAAACTCAATAATTATTCGTCACTACCAAGAAAAGCTATTTGTCTCTTGAGATAGTAATGACTAATGAGACTGAGTCCTCATAACCTGATAAGTTGGAATTGCTTGTCATTTATTGTATTTTTGTCCGCAATAGCGAGTCCAGCTGCTCTAAATATCTGCCAAAAGGTTACCATATAATTAGACATATATCTTCTAATTTGACATATAACAGACTTTCTAAGTGAAGCTGCAAAAACTTAGAAGAGTCAAACTAAAATGTCAAACTCATATGGATGCAGACAAAATACAGAAGGCATGTGTATGACACCTCGCATGTACGTGCCAACCCAGCTAGATTAGGTATTCGATCAACCAGTGATGCTAGCAGAACTATTTCTTGTCTGTCTGACTTTAACTTCTCAACAACCGTTCCCCTGGTATGCAGCATCCGATCAAGAAGTTGATCTTCATTTTCCATGTTATCTGCAATTGGAGAAAAAAAAGTCACTATATGCTTTATTTTAAGAGCGCAGCTATGATATTTAATCAGTACGGAGCATTTGTCAAACAATGGTAAATCACAAAAAGAAGCTATAAATGCAAATTGTTTCATCAGTCAGTGCATCATGATGCTTAGATAGTTAGATTACAATGAGAAATTTCTTTTTAGGAAATCTAGCGGCCAAAAACTATTTTAGGCGCTCAGCACCACTTTCAGCCTAGCAGAAAATATAGAGATAACCCAAGAGGAGTCCCTGATGCTGATTACATGCAGACCTTACAGCAAATCTTTATGACCAAATAACTAAACTGGGAGATAGATCACTGCAGAAAAGATGTACTATCACCCAAGTGCAGAGATGAATAAAGCACAATGATTATGCAACAACTTTGATGCTAGCAGCAGGAAGGTCTCAGCACTGGTTTTTTATTAGTTTAGAGCCTAAAAAATTTTGGACAGCGATAAATGGAAACCCTGATACCAGGGTGTTGGCACTTGGCACTTGGCACTGTCTCAATACTTTAGATGCAAGCAACCTTCTTTGAGACCATTGAGATTGTATTGTCTTGTCTCTAAGGAGTTAGATAACAAAATATTAAGCGTTGATACTTTTGAGCTAGCAAAATGCGACTTAATTTTCCTACTAAGAGTTATGGGAATAAGCCCAGGGCTGATCAACTGCTGCTTGCCTTCATAAAAAGGAGGATTCATATTAGACACATAATAAAAAATGACTATCATTCACCAAGATCTCCAACACGTTGATCTACTTTCTTTAACTTACGTTGTAGATTCTCTTTTAACATCCCTCTGAACATACTTATCATATGCCCCTCGCATGCTACCTAATGATTTAGTTGAAACCCCCATAATATTGAGTATATAAATCTTTCTATTTCACTTTGAAACTCTCACAATATTGAGTAGATGTATCAGGTCAAGCCTCTCACTGTCATTATACATCAAGACACAAGCTGGTTTATCCGAGTTCAATATTTCACTACGCTTAAGAGAAATTAATTCTACTGCTTCCTTGATGGACTCTCCGGCTACTACCAAGTGGTCATAGCACCCAAGGATCAGCCCAAGAAGACAACATTCACGTGCCCAGTACTGTTCGGCCTATGCAATGCACCGAGAACTTTCCAGAGGTGCATGTTCTCCATTTTCTCTGACATGCTTGAGGATTGCTTACAGGTATTCATTGATGACTTTTCTATATTCGGTTCTTCATTTTCTGATTGTCTCGTGTTCTTGAGCGTTGCATTGAATCAAATTTGACTTTGAGTTGAGAAAACAGTCATTTTATGGTGAAAAGTGGAGTTGTACTAGATCATGTGGTGTCTAGTAGGGGGATTGAAGTTGATAAAGCTAAAGTTGATGTGATTGAAAAACTTCTCCCGGCGGTTAATGTGAAAGGAATTAGGAGTTTTTTGGGGCATGCTGGTTTTTATATACAATTCATAAAAGATTTTTCAAAAATTAGTCAGTCTTTGTGTCACTTGCTTGCTTAAGATGTGCCTTTTAATTTTGATGATACATTTTTGGAAGCTTTTAATGAGTTGAAAAATAAACTTGTGACTGCTCCGATTGTGATTGCCCATGATCGGTTGTAGCCCTTTGAAATAATGTGTGACGCATCAAATCTTGTTGTGGGCGTCGTTTTGAGTCAACGGGTTGATAAATTGCTTCGTGTGATTTATTACGCTAGTTTGACTTAACGGGGCTCAACTGAATCACACGACCACCGAAAAAGAACTTCCAATTGTGGTTTTCTTTCTTGAAAATTTTAGATCCTACATTCTGGGTTCTAAGGTGATAATACATTCTGACCACGCAGCTTTGAAGTATCTTTTGAGTAAAAATCAATCAAAACCAAGGCTCATTAGGCAGATTTTGTTATTGCAAGAGTTTGATGTTGATATTCGCGAAAGGAAAGGGTCTGAAAATGTGGTAGCCGATCATTTGTCTCACATCGTACCATCCATCTGATCATTCATCCTTGTTTCTTGAACATAATAGTACTAATGATAATTTCTCTTATGAGCATGTGCTTGAGTTAACATGTAGTCCATGGTGTACGGACATTGTGAACTATCTATCTTGTGGAGTTCTTCGGCCTAACCTCTTCCCAAGAGAGGAAACGTTTTGTGTTACATGCAGGAGCTACTATTAGGACGAACAGTTTCTCTTTAAACTGGGAAAAGATGAGACACTACGGAGATGTGTACCCGAGGAGGAACAAGACGGTGTTCTAACTTTTTGTCATGAGTTCCATCGTGGAGGACATTTCGGAGGCCAGAAGACTGCTTACAAAATCCTCCAACCAGGTTTGTTTTGGCCAACTCTTTTCAAGGATGCCCATAATTTTTGTCGTTCTTGTGACCAATGCCAAAGGACTGGGAATATTTGTCTCTAAAATGAGATGCCCATTGTGAACAACCTTCAAGTCGAAATTTTTGATGTGTGGGGCATTGAAATTTTTGTTTTGTCACCAAGTCTTTTGGTTTCGGATATACTATGCTTGCTGTAGATTACGTGTCCAAGTGGGTTGAGGTAATCCCCGTGAAGACATGTGATGCTAATGTGGTCATGTAAGACATGTGATGCTAATGTGGTCATGTGCAAGGGCATATCTTAAACAGGTTTGGATTCCCTAGAGCGATAGTTAGTGACGGGAGTAAGCACTTTTGCGATAAGGTTTTTGAAACATTAATGAAGAAATATTGCATCTAGCATACAGTGGCTACCCCTTATCTCCGCTTGGCCTGATGTTTGTGGGTGACAAGGGGTAGCCATTATACGAGATATAGTATTTCTTTATTAATTTTTCAAAAATATTAATACAAAAGTGCTTATCCCCGTCACTAACAATCGGGGAATCCAAACCGGCTTAAGATATGCCCTTGCACAATTTAATGACCATATTATCATCACATGTCCTCGTGGGGATTGTCTCTAATCCACTTCGACATGTAATCTATAGCAAGCAAAATATATTCGAAACCAAAGGACTTAGTATTGGTCCAATAAAATCAATGCACCACACATCCAAAATTTCGACTTGAATGTTATTCACAAGGCGCATCTCATTTTTTGGACCAATATTCCTAGTTCTTTGGCATCGGTCACAATCCTTGAAAAGAGGTGGCCAAAACAAACCTGATTTGAGGATTTTGTAAGCGGTCATCTAGCTTCCGAAATGTCCTCCACAATAACTTATTACAAAAGGTAAGAAAACCCTATTGTTCCTCCTCGGGTACACATCTCGTATTGTCTTATCTTTTTTCAGTTTAAAGAGAAACGATTCGTCCCAATAGTAGCTCCTACATGTCAACACAAAACGTTTCCTCTTTTGGGAACAGAGGTTAGGCTGAAGAACTCCACAAGTTCACAATGTCCGCATACCATGGACTACATGTTACCTCAAGCACATGCTCATAAGAAAAATTACCATTAATACTATTATGCTCAAGAAACAAGGATATGAATGATCAAATGGTACAATGCGAGACAAATGATCGGCTACCACATTTTCAGACCTTTTTCTATCGCGAATATCAACATCAAACTCTGCAATAACAAAATCCACCTACAGCCTTGGTTTTGATTGAGTTTTACTCAAAAGATACTTCAAAGCCACGTGGTCAGAATGTATTATCACCTTAGACCCCAGAGAATGTAGGATCTAAATTTTTCAAGAGAGAAAACCATAGCTAGAAGTTCTTTTTCGATGGTCATGTAATTCAGTTGAGCCCGTTAAGAGTCAAACTAGCGTAATAAATCACACGAAGCAATTTATCAAACCGTTTTGACCCAAAGGCGGCCACAGTAAGCTTTGATGCGTCACACATTATTTCGAAGGGCAATAACCAATCAAGGGCAATCACAATCAGAGCAGTCACAAACTTATTTTTCAATTCATTAAAAGCTCCCAAACATGTATCATCAGAATTAAAAGGCACATCTTGAGCAAGCAAGTTACAAAGAAGCTAACTAATTTTTTAAAAATCATTTATAAACCACCTATAAAAACCAGCATGCCCCAAGAAACTCCTATTACCTTTCACATTAACCGGCGGTGAAAGTTTTTCAATCACATCAACTTTACCTTTATCAACTTCAATCCCCCTACTAGATACCACATGACCTAGTACAACTCCACTTCTCACCATAAAATAACTCTTTTCTCAACTCAAAGTCAAATTTAATTCAATGCAACGCTAAGAACACGTGGAGACAATAAAAAAATGAAGAACCTAATATAGAAGTCATCCATGAATACCTGCAAGCAATCCTCGAGCATGTCGAAGAAAATGGAGAACATGCACCTCTCAGAGTTCCCGGTGCATTGCATAGGCCGAGCGGCATCCGTCTGAACGCGAATGTGCCAAATGGACACATGAATTTTCGTCTTTGCTTGATCCTATAGCCACTTGGTAGTAGCCGGAGAGTCCATTAAGGAAGCAGTAGAATTGGTGGCCCGAGAACTTAATTTCACTACAAAGAATGATGTATGATGACGGGGAGTCCCAGCGCATGGGATGGCCGGGAAAAATTTTCAGTGGCACGTGTGGCTTACACGCGTGGCTTCTGACGGCGAAACTTGGCCGGAAAGTCTGTCTCGAGGAGGCGATTTGACTTGGGTGGGAGGTGAGATCAAAAAAAATATTTATTTGTAAGGTAGTGATACCATGTTGTTACGAACCTTAGGGTTTCAGACGAATGAATGATTCACAAGTGCGGATGCCCATATATATAGACTTAGGGCCTTAAGTATATATGGGTTGGGCCTATAATGATTAACACACATGACTTTAATCAGTGTCTTAAATTAGAGACAATGTGATAGTTCGATCACATGAAGCGTATTAAGTACAAGAGGGGGACCACTAGCCATTTAAGTGAAGTTCTAACCTAAAACCATTGGACACAGTAATAGTAGCTCATTTGGGATTACGAAAGCTTTGATCAACCTACCACAATTAAAAGAGATAAAAAATTACCCTCTAAATAGAAATAAAATAAGCACTGAACTAATCAATGATCATATTTAATGAAAAGGTGTAGGATACTGGATACATCGTCGATATGGGGCTAAGTGCCTTATATATGGTTGCACTGCAATTTTGGTCGTTGAATATATTTCTGATTTAAAATTTAGTTCTTACTTCTTTTATCTACTGGTCATTATTTTTATTTACCAGGACTCGCATATTGAGAAGTCATAGGGTACCAAACAAGCAAGGCAAAAATAATGGGCATCAAAGTTGACATACCCAAAAGTGAACCGTATGATGTTTTCGTGTCTGTGGAAACTGCTACGTTCGAGTCCTGCATCTCATTCTTAGAGAAATTAATTTTTCTTTGAAAATCGTATAAAAATTGCTTTTCATGTTGGATATATGCATGTTCATCCGAGTTCAATATTTCACTACACTTAAGACCACCATCGACTTGAATGCTTTCATTCTCGAGCACAGCTGCATCTCTAGCAATCGAACTTCGAAGATTCTCCCTTGTGTCCTGCAAGGAACTAAATGAGAAAGCCAAACAGAAAATAGGGAAACAGTAAAAGAAAGTTGCTAGCTACTTACATTTAGAAAATCAATAACCCGCTCCATGAATGTGGTTGGAACGCACTCAAATTCAAGCTCCTATCAACATTTCAAATTTTGAACCTTTAGAAATAAGAAGGCAACAAAAGAACTAGCGTGTGCCTGGAACAGCCATTTTAAAGAAAAAGAGAAAGACAAAGAAACTAGCACGCGACCCCTCAATAGAAAGGAACTTGGGAGTGGGTTGAACAACGAAGATGAAAAACAAAGTTGGTTGCTATGAGTGCATTCAAAGGGTACTAAATTTGAAATACAAGGCAGACAATTCACTTGTGCCTGATAGTACCCAATTTTTTGTAGTGTTTCACGTAAACTTATAGTATAGTGTCTCTCCTGTCATAAAATTGGACAATATCAATTTTATGAAAATGGCCATATGCAGAGATGAGATCCAATAGATTTCCGAGGGCACTCGCGTTATTTATTTATATTGTGAAAGCCAATTTTTCGTGATAGTGCATGAGGGATTTGTTAGAATTCTCATGTTCCCTGCTGTTAATCTGGTGTTACCATAACTTGACGTTAAAAATGATTTTTTGAATGGAAAGTTGGAGGTGGAAGAAAGTCGTATGTGAAAACAAATCCAAATTTAATAGTATCTGCAACAGTGTTCAAGCTTTGATATCGGAATACACATAATAGGTCTATAAACAATGAATAAACATAATAACTCTGCAACATGAATACACATACTAAGTTCTAAAACATGAATACACATAATAAGACATCGAAACATGTTTATGTCAAACAACTCTCTTATTAAATCACCGACCTATATGGCAATACAAATGTCAAAAGGATTACTTGTGCAGAATATAGAAACACATACCATTATTATCCATAATTCAGTATACAAGGAAATTGTTCTAATCAAATTTGTTAACTATATATAATTTAAATATATCTATCTAATTAAATTCTAGGGGAAAAAGAACAGAATTAGTTAATCATTACTCACCTTGACCTTATTACTAAATATTCCAACAGGTGATGCTGACTTTAGTGGATCGAAAGCATCAAGATAACCACTCATGGAAGATCTTAACCTGCATCAATACTTGATGAAAGATTACACAACAGCAAACAATCTCAAAAACATTGACACATTTGCAACCTTTGTCATGAAAATAAAAAAATTATTCATAAGACTTCAAACAATCTAAAGAACCACAGAAGTAAGCCATATTGTTAACACCAAGCTTTCCATTCAAAACATTTTTAATTATGCTCGTGTCTAGTTTACTTGTTCACCCAATTGTGAAAGATGATAATTTTCAAAGAGATTATTGCACATTTCACCATTAAGGACAACAAACATGAACAACAACATTCTAAAATGTCTACTTAGAGCTTTGTAGAAACTCACAGGCACACAGGAAAAACCCTTGGGGCTTCAGAATAGCAATTGGCAATAAAAAAGAACAATAAGTTGTGAAAATGTACGACAAGGTTTAGTAACTAGGGTTCAAGAAACTAAATGAGAAAACAATTACAATTACAAAGTATTTTAATAGAGGTATTGATCAAACTTACTTTGCACAGTCTGGGTTATGTGTCAAGTAGTGTTTCAAATCCACAAAGCACCTCCGCTCCAAAGATATGCTAGCATGAGCATCAGAATTTGAATCAGGCAACAACTTTTCAAGAACTCTATACACCAATAACTGCAAGTAAACACATAAGCAATATATTTCAGTGCACATCAACCAAGGCATGTAAGGATGTAGTACAATCTGAACAATTAGCAGAGAATTGCCTGAGTAACTCCACGCAAGGTGTGATGATGAGAGGTCAGTAATGGAATTATAGGAGGAAGTAGTTCATCTAGGTGTCCAAACTGAGTCTCTCTTTTAGCATTTAGAATGACATTAGCTGCTATGAATACATACGACGATAAAGCCTGCACCAGTCAACTATAGGTACATTATAGTTTTAAAGCACAAATAATAAATGACAATACTCCAGTGCTCACTAATACATATAGCATGATAGAAGAACAAAATAATTTGCTTGGAAACAAAGATCAACCTTTGCGACCAGAAAGATCCTGTGCAAAAACTTATGGAGCAGAGTAATTTGGACAAATAAAGGATTGAGTGGAAACAGCTAGCTAAGTCAGAAGTCGTGATCACTTCATACAACTTTTGTCAATTTTCTGAATTTAGTAATTTAAATTCAAATATATCATACAAAACCCATTATTTATCACAAAGTTCACATCGGGGAGGAATGAGCACATACAACTTTTGTCAATTTTCTGAATTTAGTAATTTAAATTTTAATATATCATACAAAACCCATTATTTATCACAAAGTTCACATCGGGGAGGATTGATTCAGTGCACCAATATTCCAAACCCTAGTTTAGTTGCCATTAATTCTCCCTTTACTAAAGGTAATTCTGAAACTGAAAGTTCCGTATCACTCGCATCGCTATTTTCCAATCATGCAATTTACATAATATTGCAATTGCCAAATTACTTCTTTCGATGCCTTAAATTATCTAAATAGCATTATGCAAATATATCAATGTAAATTAGACAACAAATAATCCAATTTAATGAAGTAATGAGATCCATTATCACTGAAGATGAGTTTGCAGACATGCATTCAGTATTCTGCAGTCAGCTAAATACAAGTCTTAAGCCAAGTTGATCAATTACAAACCTAGCAGCAGGTCAGCACTAAGGCGAACAAATGTTAGACACTGAGTTTAGACTAAGCTCCGGATATGTAAAATTCAGAAAAGTAAATAAATCAGAATTCAATAAGAACAAAAGTGCGAAACAAATATCTAGAAATTCTGTTATAACATTCTAACCATGGTGTATTTCCTGAGGGGTACCCAAACAAAAAAAAAAATAATTTAACCTGAAACCGACAAAATAAAAATATTATTCTACTCGTACCTGTGGCTTCATATCATTATTCCTTAGATGAGAAACCAATTGTTGACCAACCTATAAAATGAACAAGTAAGCAGAGGCCCTAGATCATAATGGAGTAAATTCGTAATATATATATATACAACTCATAAGCTTAAGGTGGCTACAGAAATGCAAGTTTACATCAGCAAATCCTTTAAACCACATTAACTAGAAAGGATACATGTTTTCTGAGTTCATAAGATAGGTCTAATGCTGCTCAGCCTCAATTGTAATAGGCAGGAATACCAACTGGGTTATAGTAGAATACTGGTCATGTAAAATTTTTGTGACACCACATCATTCAGCCATCATAATTACTCATAGGCTACACAAATTTAACAGCTATAATAAAAGTCAATCATTAAAGCACAGTTTAACCAAAAAGAGTAAGAGAAACTAACCAAAAGGTTACTCCTTACCAGTGACGGGAATTTCAAATATATGCATATAGCAAAAATTTCCAAGTATTGACGAACTGAAGGATAGTTGTTCCGCTACAATCAAATGAGACCAATATTAGAAGATCAACAGTGGAAAATGTCGAAACCAAACAACAAAAAATGGTTCTCACTCACCTTTTGGTACATTACTATAGCCAATAACAATTCTATATGTATGACATGTTTTAAATGGTGTAATATTAATTCACAAACAACTCTCTCCGAGCCTAGATTTTAAAATAAATCTGGAGTACGATAATAGGGTACATACAACAAATGCTTCCCATAAAATGCATATGCAGCAGAATCCAGTTTTAAATATATTTCGTATATTTTAATATTATATATTTTCAGTCATAGCACCCAATAAAGCAAACATATCTGCTTCATTTTCATATAAAAGAGCATCCAACATTCATGTGACATCTATTGAACAGGTCAAAAGTTCACACAAAATGGTCATATAAGAAGCAAACTATTTGTCAGCGTCAAAGGAAGTAAGCGTTTCCAGGTAGAAAGGACTCACGTAAAGAGATGCATGCAGGATGGATGTTACTTGCTCAATGATGCCTCCATCAATAAATCGTGAAAGCACACATATCATTTGCCATGCACGTACTTTCCGCCTATGAATCTGCAAAAACAAATACGGGCAAGGAACAAGAATTGAATTGCGGAGAACTCTTATCATGTGGAATTTACTACTTCGAGGGAATTCATCCGTGCTAATCAATGCATCAAGAGGTAACCACTAGCATATTTAATTTAATAATTTCTAAGCCATATTTACAATTATATTGACGGATCCAGGTCAATAAAGAACATTGCTCATTAAGGAAGCAAAGGATTTAAAAAATTCATGGTTCCTTAACCAGACCAGTATTCGTCTTTTCTTTCAAGTGCACCAGGAACTCACCGCGCTATTCTTTTTATACAATTCCTTGGACAGATCTTTGTCATGAACCTGCCAGGAAATCAGAATCATACATTTTGCTTAACAATACTGTATAGGGTGTGCAAAAAAATTAGTCATAAATAAGATTCCTTCTACTATGGACAGAATACTCAAATAAAAAATGTTCATCTCAAGGATATATACAATCTAAAACATGAGCCACATTAAACCCATTCTTCAAGGTTGCTTTAAAGTTGTATGATCCAGAGGAAGCAGATCACATCAAGTTTGGCAATAAAACACCAATTTATAAAGCATGCTGAATAAGTTGCTGTAGAACATGATGTTGCAAAGTATCTAAGATATCTAAAGGTTATGAACAGTTTCAACAGACACTTGAGATAAGTACCTTGGTATATTCTCCCCAGATGAGATTTTGCTCAATTAATAAAGCATCTCATTGGAAACTAGATTCTTAACCAAATCAAAGTGGATTACCATCTCTATTAGGTCTGTAGATTGATGGATAAAGACAGCTGTCAAAGAAGCAAGTTATTGTCTAGACTCTTGTGTTCTAGGTCAAACATGGTTAATGTCATTAGAGTTCCAGTGTACTGTGCATCATCCTCATAAGCAACACTTGAGATAATTCCTTATTTTTTAAGTTGGTAGAAATCTTAACCGAGAAAATGTTCATATGACAAACATAAACATGTATACCCTTTGGTAGTCGAGTGCTCAACTTCACCAAACAGTTCAAAATAAGCGGATGCGTACGAGGTATATAGGCCAAAATTACAACAATGGGAAAAAAATCAATGTCATTAAAGGCATTCCTAAACTTACCTTCACCCTGACTAAGACGATCAATCTTCCATAGAAGAANTTTAAACAGAACTACATATAAGAATCCTGGAAGTGGAACTACTAGGAAGGCTGAATTAAAACACCATATGGATTTGAATGCTGCTTGATAGCAACAAAAGATGGCAAAAAAAAAAAAAAAAGATTACCACAAAATTAAGAAGTTCTAGCATAAAAAGTTTCCCAGATGCAATAACAGCCAAGTTATCTTCATTCCTAGCAGATTTCTCCAAGTACGCCATGTCCGCAAGCTTTGCAAACAAAATAGCAACAGACACACGCGCATACAACTCTGTATTGATGAACACCTGATCAAAAATGATGAGCAATTAGGCCATCTCTAGCCCTTATCTCTATTTTAATGTATAGTTTACTAGTGAAACAAAAATCAAATTTCACCTCCAACCATTCGCGCTACATTTTACTCCATATAAAATATTTATGTATTCTCATTATTTTAAATTATTTAATATCAAAATATAATTAAATTAGATATACTATTTTACACATATTTAATTATATAAATTGTCATTATAAATTAATAAAAATATAAATAAACATAACAATATTTATATAAATATATCTTATTTACTAAAACATGTATCTAGTGTTTACTAACACGCCAGTCTTTTTCACCAAGAGCTTGTTCTGAAATGGGGCGCATGAAAATATTAATTAAGTTTGAAGAAAAATTTCAATTTATAATATAAGTCATAGAAAATAATTTAATTATTTATTCACATTCACATGATCCGTCCAAATTCCAATATTAATATATTACATATTTTACTGTATTATAAATAAATTCTTTTAGTGAAGATGTGTATTATGTTGTATTATACAATAGTTTTATGGGATGTATGTTAATTTTAATAAAATATATTATTTTTATAATATTTAATTTATTTTATAATAAATTAAAATATTTGTCAAAATATTATACTAAACTATATAAAAAACGAAAACAAAATATATGTAGCGCAAGCTACAATGTTGCGCCACATATGGCGAAATATCCATATTAGAGTATGTAGCGCAACGTTGGAGAATATTGTAGTACTCTGGCGTAGAAGGGGCAAAGTAGCGCAGCATTGGATATGATCTTGCGTAGAAGGGGCAAAGTAGCGCAGCATTGGATATGATCTTAGACAAGATATACATGAATCAAGCTTATGTTCAATGAAAAATGGATCGAGATACCTTTTGATCATCTCTCAGTAACTTACATCGGTTAACTCAGGATCTAAGCTTCTTGACAGTACAGATACCTCAGTTCTTGCATCTAGATTTTCAGACAGTTCAGCTTCAAAGTCTTCATCAAAAGCAACTATACAGAAACAAATAAAATAAACATACAAATTGATTCTGTGAAAGAGAATCAAGCTGACATAGAATACTGTTTGAGGTAGCAATATGAATCAAGCGATAGAATGTGTTCAATTATAGATTAGTGAGGAAAGTGTAAGCATACCAGAACCATAAAATGTCAACAGCTTTAACTCATTAATATAGTATTTTATTGTAGTTGGATATGCCAACCAAAGTCCACATAAATGCAATGCGGCAAGACGAATGGTGCGTGGACTTTTTGTGCCTTCTTCAAGAATTTTACCAACAAACTGCAGAGAATTGATGATAGTTTGATGAACTTATCAAGCAAGTTACATTGATTATATATGAGAGAGGGTTAAAATGATACATACCCACTTTAAAGGTCCAGGAGCATTATCAACCTCATGCATGAGTTCATTCCCAAACACTGAATAATGCAAGACAGAGGACAGAAGTGCCGCTATAGAAGCCACCCTCCTTTTGTTGCAGCTGATATGCAATATCCAAGAAGAACGAACCAAAAGCCACATCATCTAAGCAAAGAAAAGCATATGTTGATAGTTATCCAAGCAACTGCAGGCTACTGTGTAAAATTTGGCTTTCTACATCATAATCTTCTAACTTTGGTTTTCTATATCCATTTTACCTGTTGCAGTTTAAAATAATTGCAAAATTAATCCCCATTTTAACTTCCCTATTTCCACGAAAACCCTCACATTCATCCTAAAAGCATCAAACCAAAAGTTTAATTAGAAACTGTGCAATTGCTCCACCACCAGATCAGCTCATTCGCAGATAGGGACCGTAGGATGGAGTCATTCAAGTCTAAGTCCTCCATATCAAAGAAAATCCAAAATACTCTTCATCATCAAACCTTAATGATTACTGCATTCTAGGCCATCGAAATCTCAAAAGTAATAACAAAGCGTATCTTATGTTAGGCCCTTCATGGATATACACTAGTCTATCAAAACTTCTCCCATAGCAGATGAAGAATGATTAGGTTTCTTACTTAGATTATACTGGATTATTAGGATTTATTATTCATTTATTATTTAGGATAATAACAGTTATTAGGGTTTAATTCTTGTCCACCAAGTTTAGGTTTTAGTATAAATAGATAGTTTATTTTCTAGGGTCAAGTGTTGAATTTTATTTTTGCTCCTCGCAAAGGTTATATTTACTTGCTCGTTGTCTGTTAATCTGTTAAGCTTCTGCCAACGTCACATTCCATGGTGGTGTGGTCAACTTTCATTTTGCACATCATCATTATCAAATCAAAATAAAATTGATGATAAATGGATGAATTTCAGATATTATTAAATATAGAGAAAAACTTGTGTCACTAAATNCAAATGGAATAAACCAAAATCTGAAATTCAGAATTATGGAACTCTTAGAATCCGAAATCAGTTTCTTATTTTCTTCTTAAGATTGCACAGTTCCTTCAATTTTCTTGTTACATTAATTCCTATCACTTATTATCACTTTAGAAGATTTCTTTTCCTCAGATTTCTATGCACAAAATGAAAGGTAGGGAACAAAAGTGAAAGAAAACTCGATGCTCGGGTACAACTCTAAACAATGTGACATTGAAATTAAAAGGAAACCCTAATAAATGGAAAACCATAGACCATGCATGTCCACTGTGTGACTAAAAAAAAAGTTATTAAAGGAATGAATATAAAGCATGTCAAATATACCTCAAGTGTTATCCCACCACAAGAGGAAATCGATTGATCCATTCCTTTTAACTGAAACAGCTCCATGTTATATCTGACTGATCTAAGCATGGACAAGACAGATTCTTCCCCAGCATTTTCAAGGCTGCAAAAGCATAGAGATGATGATGATGATGATGATGGTGGTATGAGATCTACTGAAAGAACACAAGAAAACCTGAAAGAGGATAATCATTTCTGACATCTTTTGTACCTGGCCAGTTTTAATGCTGTAACAATTTATATACTATTCCTTCTTTTCATAAACATTTATTCTTTAATTTATACAAACTATGATACAAGAAACGTAATAAATATTCTTAACTCAGTGGAGAACAAAAGAGATTCTACATACGAAGTCATGCATAACAAGGATTGATAAGCAACATATAATATGCAATCCAAGTTGTTTTTATGAGATATAATACACTGCTCAGGAGGTTACACTAAATTCATATGAGAATTAAGAGATGTAGGAGGTAAAAACACTGCTACAAAATATTTACCATGCCAACACATTTTTCAAATAAAAGCAGATACACACATTGAAAAATGCAAATATGTTTAGAACATGGATTTAATGTATCATGCCCATGCAAATTAACATATATACAGCAAGTATACACAAGAAAGAATCCAACATTGAAAATGTTATAACCAAACCATGACAACTTGAGCCAACTAAGTTCATTATCTACACTACAAGATAATGTAAATATTTTAACAAGATTATAAACGATTCAGCACCCAAGCATATAAATAATATATATGGTGTTTAAGTGCATATGTTCATATAAAGCATCCACATGACGGAAATAAACGGTGAAGATGTATATCTATGAATAATTAACATAACTCGTGCCAACCAAAATCACACTGTTTACATATCAAATATATCCCAACTTCCGAGAAAATATTAAACTCAAGAAGAAATACGTCAATATAAAAATTCAACTCCCAACAGCCAGGTCTAAAGACTCGTCAGGTCATCAGTAAGTACATACAGAATATTGGTTTCTTTAACATTCACAATTTGTTCCCAAGCAAAACTACATCAATATCCGGAGAAGTCTGCCAGTTCTTCCAAAAAAATTAATGTCCAATCCCAATTATTGGGTCAGATGCAAACATTTAAATATTACAACACCTCAACCTCCACATCAACATGCACCATACCAATGTACAAGACATAACAATGACCTTATATGTCTTACAGCATAAGCAGGCCAGTTAAAAATTGTGAATCGTAGCCAAGCAGCATGACATCTTTTAGCATATTACCTTCCAACAAGATCACCAAAAATTTGCTCTGCTGTTGTGTCAGATAAGTACAGCTTACATATGCGCAGATCAACTCTATTGCACAGTGCATACTTGTGTAGCGACAGCAGAAGTTCCAGGCAGGTCCACTGAAAAGACAAATATAAGATACTAGGTATTATGATCTCACTAGCACATCATTAGTGTTGGGAACTGCAGTGGATGTATAAAAATGTGGAAGCAGAAAGCAGCTTAAGATGACAGATCAACTAACAAACTACAAGCTACAAAAGACTAATATAAGATAATAGGTATTATGAGCTCAGCACATCATCTAGTGTTGGGAACTGCAGTGGATGTATAAGAATGAGGAAGCAGAAAGCAGGTTAAGAGGACAAATCAACTAACAAACTATAAACAACAAAAAACCAAAAATGTATCCAAAATGATAGATCCATTGGTCTAGGCACTCTAAAGAAATCATCACCAAACTCAAGTAAAAGATGCTTGTACACAAGAATAATGCTTTTAAAAATAACAAACTGAAGAAATGAATTTGGAATAAATAAATTAACAAAAACAAGGATGACTTTGCACTTCTCTGCTAAGGTTAGACCTCCCTAGCTCTGCTGTGATAACTGGAGAAAGGAAAAAATGGGGCCCCACTCTTCAGTTCTCTAAGCGAAAGTAGCAATTTGATTTATGGGAAACCCTTAGATGTCTCCAGCATTTCAGCAACTAAATAAATGGTATGCTAGAGTCCCAGACATGCCCATATATTCACTACCTAAGCCCAGGACTAGTATCTCTTTTAAGCTAACAAAATCCAGAGTAGAAATCAAAGGAATGTGTGGGAGGGCCATCTACAGGTCGTCCGTTAGCAGTGTCCTTTCTTAAGTCAGTACTGTAGTAGACATGGAACTTGGATCTGTTTAATGCTGGGCTTAAAGAATCTGATGTGCTCATTGGCCCATGGTATGATTAGTTAATTAGCATCACAATCTACAACGAAGTTCTTTGTAACAAAGAAATGAATAACTCTTGAAATATTTCCTTGTTTGCAGTTGAGCTTGTCTACTAACCAAAGCAGCGTAGGCTTGTAGGACATTCATAATACCAGCAAAAAAAGTCTGATCCGGATTAACCAATCAAATCCACTTCAAATCAACCAAATAATTTCAAATTCAAATTTTTAATTAAAAATCCAGCCCAAATCTAACTCAATTTGATTCTACTCAATATCAAAATAATTAAATAATATCAATTAATCATCCTCACATCACATCAACAAAATTCACTTTTCATCCACTGACATATTTTTAACTAACAATCAAATCCAATCACCTCTCTTACATCACATCAATTTTAATCATTACGTTTAAAAACTCATCTCCAAACACAAACACAAACTCAAAATCCAATCCAAAACTCCACTCAATCACTTTTTTTCAACTCTACTTCACTTTACTCAATAAATCTAAATCATGTCCAATCGCACACCATTAAAATCTGCCCTCTTGACAAACAGGAGATTTACAAAATACTAAACAATATAAAACCAGATTTTCTTAAGAAATAGTAACACCTGGGGTACACAATGTCAGAAAAACCTAGAAATTATCCCTATATTAATGAGAAATATTAAAGTCAAGCTAGCATAGAACACTACAAAAAAACATGAGTGACCACTGAACAGTAACAACTTTAAAACATATAATTTTAATTTTAAAATGCCATAAAATAATAATAATTTGTAGATCCAGCATCAAATATCTAATTTTGTGAGGGTAAACTCTGTAGACACTTGACAGAAGTAATGCTATGCCATTCAAGGTTATCCCATTTAGAACTGGGCTTCTTAATATTGAAAATGCACATTACACAATATGCCATCTTGTGCATCTTGTAAATGAACCATAGTCAATGGGTGACGGCTGACGCAATTATAAGTATCAAATGAATTTTTTCAGGTTTGTAGGAAAACAATCAATCGGAAGATCTAAACCGTGACAGAAAGTTCCTATATACCAAATTATAATATAGCCTATGTTGGGAGCATCAATGACATGAAAATGGACAAGGCGAACTGTACGACATTCTATCCATGTCCAGGGATATATCTTCTGAACGGACATCTGCGAAGAAACCTGAAAATAGTTCACTCCCACCACAGTGGGCCACCTGGACTCTAGAAACTAGCCAAACATAGGTACATATTGTCTGCCATCCATAATTAAATATACTAGTCGATTTATTCTTTTTGCTTGTAACTGGTATCATGGACAAACACAGATAAATTACAACCAGCGCATTCGAAAAGAGGAGAAACAACACTAGATGAAGGAGAACAATTATATATCCATATAGGTTAAAAATTAGAAAAGCAAGAAAGGAAACATTACCTTCCAACTCATCAACACTGCCCTTCGTGACCGTGTCAAACTTCCCGCATCAATAACATTGTTAATGTTATGAAGAAATGTACTTACAAAGACATCCAAATCTTGGAATTCTGCTTCTAATGAAAATGACTCATCATTGTTTGAGTCAAGATCCAATGACAAAGAAGAGAATAAACACACTAAATCCTTCAAAGCATATGCACATGCTTCATAAGCAGCTACAGATATTTCTGCGCCACCCTGCTCAAACAATAAATGAGTTTACGAACCACCTTCAAGTAATAATATAGTTTAAGATGAAAAGATATTCTGTATTTATCTTTCATGATTCGGCGAAATAAAATCCAAACTCAGCACACCTCTGATTTAGGGACTGGAGTTGTAATAATCTTCCAGCAGAAGTTCCAGAGGAATGTCTGAGCAGAGTTAGTTAGACCATCTCTCCGAAACTGCGCAATCCATCTCAGCACAGATCCAAGAGTCCTTATAGTTGTTATCTAGTTGTCAAAGTAGAGGTGAAAATAAGAAATCGAAACTCTGTGCATCATGCATGCTACAAGAGCAATTTACGAAAAGTAGGTTAGAATCAGTATATGAGATATTTAAACACATATTAAGCATTAAGCAAATGATATATTCAAAAACATTCTAAAGGGTAGCACCAAATTAGTCAATGTAAATTACATATTAAGTTATCTCATACGGCCAACTAAAAATCAACTGAATTAACTATTTGGATGATAATTTCTTAATCAGATGGCATAATGCAAAATTTACATCTGAAGATCTAGAAGACACAAAACTATTTAGTTTTTCAAAACAACACATTGTTCACAAAAGAAAATTAATCCAAAGGCATAACAAACATTTTGCTCCAAGGAATTATATAAAAAAAAAAACAAAAAAGACAAAAGAACCAAACACAAATACCTAAAAGTTACCGCAATAATTAGTACAATACAAGTTTGCAACATTATTACAGGTCTATTTGGATCACAGACATTTAGCTTCTTTCATTTCACCATTCTCCATCATTTCTCTACAAACAGAACTTAAATTTAAGTCCATGGTTAATTTTGTATGCAGTAAGAAGAAGAAGCAGTTGTTTCACGAATCAGGTGTGTAGGCCACATATGTTTTTTGCCTCACCTATATGAAATGTTTCGCAAGCAATATAAAAAACTATAAGAAGAAGAAATGTGTGCATACAGATTTATCTTTCGTGCCTTCATTATTCAAGGAATGCAAAATACAATTTATAAAATTTTGTGTACAAACTTATCTTTTCATGCTCTTACAGCAAGATACTTGTTTAACTAAGGATTTAGAAGATATCCAGACGGAGAACAGGAATAATTATGCATACATAAATCATTTCTTTTACATTGCAATTTTGTTATTAGCTGCTACGAAGTTTACCTGGATAGACCAAGCTTTAACAAATATAAAAGGAATATAAAGAAGATTCTTCAGATTAGATGAGTGTCTTTTTTAAATAATGATCATATAAACAGTAACTATTAGACCGAGACATTTGCATGTTCTGTATAGCAATCAGCGTTCATATTCGATCAGAATATCCAATTTGACATGGAATGATCAACTTCGTATGAGCATTTCAAGAAGCCAATATATGATAAGCCACATATGACCAATCAACAACAAATTTTAAAAAAAATGTCAAGTATCCAAAAATAAATTAAAACGAATAAAAAAAGGAAAAGAAAGAAGATTGAATGAACGAACTATCTTACAGCTTCCAGAACAGAAGTGCAAAGAGAAGATGGCAAGCGGCGTTGACTTGGACCTCCTAGTTTTCCTCTTATGGAACCTGGAAGAGTCATATCTTCTGCCACCACACCACACCAAAAGACAGAGCACGATAATTCGGCAAATGACATTAGTTTTTCCTGTCAGGCCCATAGAAAATAAAATTAAAAGGCAGCCAAAGAGATAAAGCTTTTGAATTACACATTCAATCCATACCAGAAATGAGAATAATACTGTCACGAAATTGTCGATAATGACTGACTCTTCAGTAACACTTAAATTGACAACTTCATCAGGAACAAAGTCTCTATTCATTCTTCGTGACACATGAAATATAGCTGCTCTCTCACGGATAACTTGAAGTTCCTCAACCAAGCTGCAAACAAGAATGAGAAATTTCACTCCCACCCTCTGTAAAGAACTCTTCTCCTTGCAGACATCAGCACCATGATCCTCAATGAACTACATAAAAGGACTCACACGTGAATATCTAGAGATGTCAAGAGAAAAACATGTAATGGCATCCTCACTCAAACTCTACTCATATAATTTATCAAGGCAACGACATACGAACAAAATTTACACTAGACAAATGTTTACGTACTTCTTGATGATGGAAAAAACTACTCATAGTTCCGGTAGAGCAAACTAAACTACTAAGACCGCATTTGTTTTGAACTATATTGGTGGACTGATGGTATAACCAGACATTATACTAAATTCTCAACAAGTGAAGGAGTGTGATCATAGATTACTTGATTCCAGAAAAGGAAAGTGACTGGTGATAGAAGAATTCCTAAATAAGATCTACTTCCTTGTAGTGTCAATGTCTTTGAAACCCCAGAATATCCAATTTTGCATATATAGTAACAAAGCCAAATTTCCGAAATGAAAACCAACTATTTGGCCCTTGAATATCTATATACATATAGACATGATAATAATGTTGACAACCAATACTAAACAAAGCTTTGACAAAGACAGAATATGATGCATTAAAAGAAAAAGTATGTCTTACTCCCTTTCTTCTCCCAATGAGACTTTCATAAGAAATATATACCACAATGCTCCAAAGTAGAGTATAGTATAGTCTATATTAATAAGAGATTCATTCTTAGTCTACCGCCGTACCGATAATAACTAGAAAAACTAGGTCCAAATGGATAGGTGATAAAGTAAAGAGCATAATATAATAAAAGAAAAAAGAAGCAGAATTTAAATGATAATTTGAAATAATATAACTCACATGGACCTCGAGAAGAATTCTCATTAATAATGTTACCCAAGTAGCTTTTTATGCCTGCCTGTCATTCGTGGGGATCCCTTTTTCATATAATAATATAATATTCCTAATTCTAAGCCCCTACATTAGCCACTAACAAGCAAAAAACTTTTGAATCAAATATTTTCCCTAAGATCTCGCCAATCAATAGTTCCCCCCATCAGCCTGTAAATCGATTATTCCTCAAATGACCTAATTACTAATTATATTATTTCCTAGCTCTATAAAAAAAATGATAAACAAAGTAAAATATATGGTAGCAGATACACAACACACACAAGCTCAACCACATTCAACCTTAAGGATTGAGCTAAAGTGCTCCCTGCCTTCAACCACAAGAAAAAGAACTCGAGACCAACGTTTTGCTTCTGATACCCATGCATCTAGTTCTTCATCGTCCAATGTAAAAAGAGAATCTACTGGATTCGGATAACTGATAAAATTCCTCGGAAATCCATTTATAGCATTCATAATCTCAAGATTGGGACTGCGGAGCCACTTCTGAACTACACATCTCAGTGAACCTTGAATAAAATGAAAGACCAAAAAAGATGGGTAAGAGCAGGAATTAGAAATGCATCAATTAGTATTCAACAAGTACAAACATTAAAATTGTTTCACAACTCTTTGGGCCTAAATTGGGCAAAAATCATATCCTTAAACCATACCGCCAGGATCAGTGTGTTCGCGAGGCAGAGTACAAATGAAGTGCAAAATGATATTCAGAGGAATGTCAGCTCCACTCATCATAAAGGTCGCTGCAGACATAATCTTTTTGATAACTGAAATCAATAACAAGGTAAGAATAACATTGTTCAGCATTATCATCAGTTACAACTTCATGAATATGACAAATCCAACTTAGTACCTTGGTGACGATATTTAGGGTTAAAATGTTGTTTACTGCACTCGATCACAAAACGTAGAACGTCCAATAAGTCGGTTCTTTGAACTTGACAATAGTTTACCACAGGTTCAACCACAACTCCAGTAGTGTCAACATCCATAATATGCTTAATGCCGTTATTATTATGCTTTAGGGCTCCACAACCAGCAGAAGAAATGCACTCCACAAGGCACATCAGCCCAGCTCGTCCAAACGAATGCATTTTGGAAAGAGCAGCCAAATCAATCACGAAGGCAATATGCTGCCTGTAGTCACATGAGACGCTTCAGAAGACGCGTACTTTTAAGTTCTAAATTGTCAATATGTGTAGTATCATAATAAGAACTGCCAGTTCAAAATATTGCAGACTGCAGAGATCTGTCCAACTCTAAACTGATAGATTCAGGAGGTAATATTTTCCATCAAGGACATCCACCCGATAAATATCTTCCTTCCAGATAGAAGGTAATTTGCATTGAACATTGTCATTTTAAATTCAAATTGGATCGAAATGGTCCGAACTCAAAATAAAGGTGGCAGCAAATTTGAATTCCAGTGAAAAGTACACGCATTACATTAGCCTTCTTCATCTGACAGATTGCAGTACGAAACTTTGCATGAACTGACGCAATAATAAAAATGCGATAGTGGAAGCAAATTGGAATCGTTGTAACGACTAACTAGGAAGGTCGGATTTTGGATATGATCCCAAGGTGCGAGTGAACTGTCCTAAAAGTGATCCCTTTCATACCAAGCAAATCGGATATCAGGAATACATTTCGGAGTTACAAAGAAGCTTTCAATAAAATTTGGTTGCTCTTTCAATAATCATCACAAATTTAACTTGTTTTTGGGTGAAAAACATAATTATCTGTATTACACAATGTTCAGCAGTAAAATGCAAGAGAACACTCGAGGAACTCTAAGAATTAACTGGAATTCGTGTGTACTGTCAAGTTACAGGATATGTTCTATTTATAGGTATAAGAAAGTGTGATCAGGACTTCTCATGAAAAGCAACGCATATTTTCACTATGAGTTCATGTATTTCAAAGGTTTTCAAAGAAAATATATGCATTTTCTCATTAGAGTTTTGAATTCTTACATAAATAGCTTTCATAGAAATAGAGGACACTCATGGTAAAATTAATTGCTCCTACCCAAGGAAAAACATGAAATCTCACATCTCAAGTGTTACGAAAAACGTTTGACATAATTTCTGGAAGAGGAACGAAAATGACTATAAATCAAATTCAACCTACAGTGCCAAATGAAGTTAATTTTGACAACTACATCACTCATATGAGTTTATCAATGGATGAAATTATCTATATTTGGCCAAGGATGAATCTGAAGGTCATACAGAACTATTAAAATATGTAATCATATTAAAACGACCTTTCTTGAAAATTTTGTCTGCACTGGTCTCTGTCAACAAGCATAACTTAGAAATCAACAATATTATTAAATCTGCATCTCAGCTTGAAAAAACAACAGCAGTTACCTCCTATCCATGTAGCTGACATATTGGCACATAAATGCAGCTGCAGCCCCAATAGCTTTCGAAGAGTACACTTCTTTCACACCTATGGGAGGAAAAACAAGATGAGTTGTTTTGATAGAGACCTGACTTTACTCTAAGCTTTCTGCAAAAGAAATAAACCAACCAAATTCTTTGTGGTGCACAGGATCATTTAATCCTAGTATGAGGGGACCAAGTATGAAATCTTTTGGCACAAATTTTACACAGCCTTCACAGTGCTCCCACTCAAATGCCAAAAATGATTGCATGATATGGCACCTTACTGGAACACATAAATAAAGTATCAATATCCCAGAGAGAATATTACCCATACATACCAAAATAGACAACATAATGAAGACTTAAGTCCACTGGAGTATAATGAATAAATGACCTTGAGGATTATCATGGCAAAAGCCACGTTGCCATAAGATTGTTAACCATTCAAAAGTTTGCTCGGCAGTTGCCATCCGGTTATGATAGAGCTCTTCATTATTAGAGATCACAGAGTTCTTGAGAGACCGAAGCCAAAGCATAATCTACCAAAGACAGATAAATGATGCTAAATAGATAATAACTACCATCCTAATAAGTGAAAGATAACAAACCAACACCATGAAATATGAATGATATCATAATCACAACCAGAGTTTTTGCACATAATCACAGGCACCTTTGAAGGAGAAGCATTACAAATTGGTCAATTCAGCAACATAAAGAAAGGGAGACCACATGGTCCACGTCGTCAGAGACAAATGTGAAGTGTGAACAATCATGAATATAACTTGAAACATGACTTGACTCATGGCTTCATACACAAATTAGCATACTCAATCTCAATCTGGGAAATTTTATTCGCTTGCATGGATTTTTTAGGCCCACTGACAACTAAGGGCATGGGAATCCGCACTTGAGTTTATGGTGCATATCCTATCTGCAGCAAACCTCATAGTATGCATGAAATAAACTTGGAAAACATCACCACACCATATGCGCCACTTCTACACCAACAGAAGTTCTTCCATCATACATGGTTTTCATTTTCTACCCCTATTCAGCTAAAGGGAAGTAACACAAAGAAAACAGTAGCTAAATTATATTCTATGCCACACGCATTCATATCGTGGACATGCAAATTTGGGGATGAGCTTACCTGGTGACTCCAAGCTGCCTCAACCAAATGGGAACCATACTCTTCAAGAATTTCATATAGAAAAACAAATGCCTCCCACCTGTACCAGCCAGTGAAACTTGAATCATGGTCTTGGCATATTTGTCCAACACCTAACGACCGGGCTTCTTTGTCTGCCCATCTTCTCCTTTTGCTAATCATGCGAGAGTCTGAATCTTTCTTTTCTGCTACTTCCTCCAACACACAAGAGTTTGATTTCCTATCATTGCTCAAGTTTAAAGTTTTTTTCAATATATGCAGTGACTGCTTCCTGATTAAGCTCTCTTCATCAACCTTAAAGGTATAAAAAGCATGTATGACGTTACCATAGAAGAATGTATCCAACAGTAGATGAAGATCAATTAATAGGATTCATTATTAAAATATTCAGATGAGGACAGATAAATATTACCAAGCCTCTCTTAATTTCGTCCCAAAATTCGTGATCAGCTCTTAAATCAAATGTTTCTACTCTTCCACCATTATTTACATCTTCAGGTTCATTAGTTGGTGCCGAAAAGCATAAATAAAGAGAAAGAACATTATAAGCATCGGTTCTCTCCACAGACCCCATGGAAAATAGCAACTTACAAAACTTCCACAATTTCATGAAAAAAACATTCCTGTAAAACAATATTTTGTCCTGTTAAAGTTCAGCGTATTAAGAAAGACTAGCTAAAATACTTTCAAGGAGACAAACATATACACCTTGTTAATAGATGAGGCGCCCCAGAAACTGTCACCTTAAAGCTATAGCTCTGTGCCAATGCTTTAAATATAACTGGAAGAAGAAATCTGATCGCATACGATCGATGCTCCAAACTTTGAGAAAGCATTTGAAGAGTCATATTAGAAAGATCCCAGAGTAAATTTCCAGCAAAAACTTCCGACATGCATCCATGCGATGAAGTAACTAATCCTTTGAGTTCATGTTGAAGAGTAGCATCCAATAACAAATTTAAGATGTTACAAGATATACAAATTGGAAAATCAGAAAAGCAAGATTCTAAAAAATCTTCTGATATTAACTCTTCAGTCAATTTATCATGAAAATCATCAGACGAATTCAAGATAACTTCCTCGTCCATGGGACCCTTAGAAACTGAATGTTCACTCCATTTATATATCGTCAACTCCTCGCTTTTAGACATTTCCATCGATAGGCCTATTGATCGCAACAGTAGAGGCACTAATGTTGCTTCAAGAACCTGCCACTTGTCTGTTTCGGTCACAAAATCAAGGAATAAACGGGCAACCTAAAAGCAACCAAAGATAACAGAAATAAGATTAAAGATGAAAAGCTTCAGAGAACAAAATCAGCATACTACGGCTAAGGATAGAAGCTAAATGCAATACCTTGTTAAATAGTTCCCGATCATCTGTATGCACAAACTTCAACAAAGGAATCCATATTTTCCAGACAAACATATTGATGTGATTCGCACCTGCAGATGTGATCAACAATCAAACAATAGCAGTCAGCCCTACTTGTCTACAAACAGTATAAGAATTAGATTAGAAAATAAAAGAAAAGTTCTATACTCAAAAATGTTTTAAAGTTCCTCCTCCCCTCCCATCCAAATTAGCTAAGTGATGAAGCCATTAGATAATAACAGATGGCCGTGGCCCCTCAAGTAAACTTCAAAAGTATCAGTGTTCGCATTCTAAGTGTACTCTAGAAGCCATAATAAATTTAGACACTGAACATTATTATTCTTGGAATATATCTACATCCACCAAAATTAATTAAATCAAGATTATACCAAGAGATTAGACTAAATTTCAATGATAGGCATCGGATATACATGTCCGGTATTCTACATAACCACAAACTTACCAAACTTCTTTAGTAAGTAGCAAAGGGCAGCCACATAGGCTGCAACATAGTCATCCCACTCAGTCCCCAGTTTTCCTCTTTCGTGCACAAGATCCTGTAGAATAGCACATCACACCACACACCAAATCTAACACAATTGTCACTTCATGAAAAGAAGTACAATTCCAGAATGTACATGAACCTTAGATTATTTCACGAAAAATGTACTTTCTGACAGGATAGAGCAAAAGCGCTCATATAGATAATGATTAGAAACTTCAGCTTAGATAGAGTTGAATTCTCCCTTAATCAATTAAGAATATAAAATTACAGAATATAGATTGAGTGACTTCGATTACAGGATAAATTAACCTAATGAAAGAAAACATAGCTCAAAGTTGGTGCCAACTGCCAAGTGATGTGAAAAATCGTCGTGATTTAAATTATTCAAAGTCCAAACAACCCTAACAAGCTCATGATTAAGAAACTGAGATCCATTGCCCCACCTATATCTCAAACACAACCACAATAGAAGTCACTCACATTTTTATCTCGTCTTGGGCGATAACTCTTCCTACCATATGTTATTATAATGGTCAATGAAACACAACAACATGCAAAATTGCAAAGGCAGTCACATATAACAACTTTGGAGCAAATGAGTCACAGAAGGTCGAAAGTCCATTTATCAACAGACAAATTATGGTTCTCGATTATTTTCATCCTCCATACCCCAGATTATCTATTGTGTCAATTTTATTTAAAATTATTTGGCATGTGTGACATTAGCCCTCTCTGAAATCAAATAATTTTAAGAAACTGTTAATATCAATCACAAAATATTTATCGCCGAAAAAATGACCGGGAAGTGAGCAGAGCTTGGATAAGCAGCTAATAACCCCACTCTAGATCATTTCCTAAATCATGTTCATGTACCTTAGCTAATACGAAAGCGGATACCATCAGTACCAATTCCACAAATTAAAAACTATCTTAATAGATAGTGAGGAACTAGGATATGTTCTTCTTTTTCTTTTTAACGGGTCATGTGAAAAACGCGCCAACATGAATTCGAACCCCTAAACTCTACCACCTAGGCTAGACCTTCATGGTGTAGATAACTGAAAGTCCAGACTACTTGGCTAGAACTAATCTTCCGTCAAGATTCCATCGAAGTGTCAAACTCTCAAATATGGAAAATGTATTCATACCTTGGTGAGACTGGGAAATTGTTTGAGAAGATCGGAGAACAGTGAGGCTGGAGATGTGGCGGTGGAAAGCAGTATACAGTCCAACATTGGAGGGATAGCCGCCGGAGAGACCCACCGGAAACTGCTCCGCAGTGAAGTGACGATAGGGTCCATTTCACTACGGCTTTCGAGGTGCTCGGTAGTGCAACTGTTTAGCAACTTCAAAATTAACCCATAGAAGGGTCTTTTTAGGAAAACGGGTCAAATTTAGCTATTTTGATAAATTAGGGCTAGGGTATGTATTAATAGTAACTAGTACGGCTACACGTGCAAATGCACGGAACTTATAAGAAAATGCTCACATGCCCACGGTGGGAACATGTTAATATGTCACCGCTGATGTGGCATGCACACATTGGTGGTGATGTTAATATATTAAAAAAAATACATCACCAATGTGTGCATGACACATAAGTCGGTGGGCATATTAACATGTGCCCACCGACCACCGTGGGCATGTGATCATTTCTCGGAACTTATAACAAATTTAATATGACAGGATAAATTATACTATCTCCTTTTTTTTTTAAATAGCATTTTGGTTTTATCAACAATTAACCAAATAAATGACGTTTTGGATCTTTTGTACATATTTTTCCATTATTACCCTCATCTAGCTAATAAATACACTACATCTTTTCATATTCACTCTTCATCTTTTCTCAAAACATCCATCTATATCCTCATTAACGAGAGTTATTATTGGCAAAAAAAGATTCTTAATTACTGTGCAACTTCTCAAAACGACACTTATTTAAAAAAGGAGGGAGTAATTAATACAAAGGGATCATTACATAGGTGTGACAACTCGAATTTTCTCATATCGAAATTGTCTCATTTCGAAAAATAAGGTTACGTTTTCTTTATTTTTGTACTATTTTTGGTATCGAACCATTTTAAACGATGTCGGTATCATTTGTCTTTCATAATTCTTTGGGATTCTGGTTTTGTATGTTTGATATTAAGCTGGAATGATTTTAGTACTCTTAATTGTGAAAGACAATTACTGTGGCACCTTATGTGCCTTGTGGTGAACTATAATGGAGCTATTCCGCCAATATCCAGGTGAGTCAGGAATATGTACAATTTCTATTTTAATTGCAGCAGTTGGGTATGGAGGGAGGAAACGGCGGAGGTTGGGTAAGGCGGTGGAAACGGTGGTGGTGGGTATGGAGGACGCCGGAGGGTGGCTACGGCGGTGGACGTGGTTGTGGTTATGGCAGCGAAACCTATTGAGTTGATTGAGTTGAAACCTATTTCTTCCGAAAATACAAAGAACAGTTGTGATTTGTATCAAAGAACAGTATATGTTCACATCAGTATAGATTGTATGTATAGGCAGGCAGTATATGTTGTGTATATATGGAGTATATGTTCAGTATATATATAAGTAATATATACTCAATATATACTGTTCATTCAAGACATGAAATGAATATAAGTAACTTGTTGTTATAATATGTTTATAAACTATATATATACTTTTATGCTTTTTTTTTTTACGGTTTTGTGGTGTATATGTATGGTTTATTTTTCTAGTAAAATTGATTACAAAGCATAAAAGTAAAATAAACAACATGTAAACTCAACATATACTAAAATATATTCAAAAACTGACTTAAAACAAGAATAAACTGATTTTTTTTTTGTGTATATGTATACGGTTTATATACATAGTCCAAACAAGCAAAACCGTTATTAAGGAACTCTCGACAGTTAAAATTTGATTAAAGTTTATATTCAATATATTTTCGGTATATGCTACAATTTCTACCACCTCGCGAAAAACTATTCCTGTAATCCATTCACCACCGTAATATCTGCAAGAATTTTTTCCTTTTTTTTTCTAGTAACCAAAACGGAAATCACGCATTAGACAAGGGGAGGTTAGCATTAAATAATAACTGAATATAAGCATTAATTCAATTAAATGTTATCTTTTAGATAAAGACATAATTAATTAAAGGTGTGTAGTATAATTGTAAATAATCACATAGATATATGAAAATTTCCCATAAATAAAAACGCCAAATNATCCTCAAATTTCTCAGACTCCTTAACCATATTGAATTTGCTAAGGAATCTCACCATTGCTTTATCATCAATTTTCTTCAAGGTAATCTCCAAAACTCACATGTCCGAAACAGACCAGAGATAAGCCTCTCTCTCAGTTGCTCTCTTCTCATTCATCCTCTTAAACATCTCCTTCTCATACCCATTGCTTCGGTCGACACCATCCCAGTGCCTGCCCGGTTTTATTCCATATCGGTTGGGTGCAGCATCAATTACTCTTTTTAACCAGCTGTGGCTAGGAATCTCCTGTGGAATTATGAAACCGCTATCTTTCATCTTCTCTCCATCCCCTAGATCCCGCACGATAGGCTCCACATGCTTTTTCTGGAAATATAATTTAAACACTGTTGGGTCATATCTGCAATCTATATGTAAAGTCTAAAATAGATTGATAGCATTATTTGCTCTTTTTATGTACAAAATAGTCATCTTTTTACAATATTCATATCTGACACTCATACTGCATTTTACTTATATAACAATCATTCTGCAAAAATGATTAAATCTATATATTGTCCATACAATACATACCTCTATCTGGTCCATTGTTACTCGTGTTTTNGCATAACTATAACTAATATAAAATCAATATATATAATACTATAGTCACCATTATATAATTTTTGATTTCATAAACATTTGGCGTGTATAGTAACATGTACTACTTTTTTTAGCGCAAAGTATTAGTTTTAAGCAATAAGAATGTTCATTCTTCTTAATTAGACATTCTCAAAGGTAGTTTATGCAATTAACTCTAAATAGAAATCAGTAAAGAAGGAACCTTGACTAAATGAGCCATGGGATCGCCCCATCTAACTCTTTCTTTCAGCATTGAGTCCAGATCTGGGTCATCCCTACAGTTGGAATGTGTTTACACATGGAATGGAAAAAGATCATTATAAGTTTCCGCATCAAACCAGGAAAGATCAACTCATGCAAATTAATCATCACATGAGACGTGTGAAATTAACTACTCCATACATCACATGCAGGTCAAGAGGATACAAATAAAACTGATCCTTGCGGTTACCTGCTCCTAGCAAATGGTTTATTCTTCTCATCAGCCATTTCTTCCAATCTAGCTTCAGCTTCCCGTTTTTGCGCCAAGCCCTTGCCCCATTCCAGGTGTATTTCCTGAAGGCCAAACATTCCCACTTGAGCATGAATAACAGCTACCATTATATCATTACCATCTCATTCCACAATACATATAAATTTCAGATGAAACTGAAGAATGAGTAAGAAAACAGGAATGATATTCTAAAATGAAAAAAAGTATTAGACGCTTGGAACAAGTAATCCACTGCTATATTGATATGAAAATAATTTTACAAATCCAAGTTCAATTTATTTCCCTTCTCCAAAGGGGCATACATCTCAATCTATATTTTGCCAGCAGAGAGACGAGCTTAAGAGCAAGGAAGAATAACTACACTTGATATATGTCAAAAAAACTAATCAACCATATGAAAGCATAAATATTAGCAATCAAAAGGTCAACTAGTTTGAAGTAAGTCACCTCAAGCTCTATTAGGAGTTACATCATAAATCAAATGGATATGATTTGTTAACAAAAGCAGAAATTTTCCAAACTTGGGACAATTCATATAAAAAAAAGTACCCTTTCAACAAAGGGCACAACTTTTTTGTCCATTGCAAATGGAGCTGGAAGAGTCATTGTTGACAATTCTCCTGGCATAGTACTAATAATGGACTAGATCAAAATGGCTCAATTAAATTCTAGTGTTTCTTCTATTAGTGAAGTTTCTAGAAAAAAAAAAATTATCAAACGGCGCAATGCACCTTGGGTCGCTACGGAAACAGCCTCCTTGTATAATTACAAGGGTAAGGTCTGCGTACAACTGACCCCCCAGACCCCAACCTGTTGGGAATATACTGGGTATGTTGTTGTTGTTGTTGTTGTTCAACAAAGGGCACAACTTTATATGAGCAAAACTTCTTAAGATAGCCTTTCTTAGTTTCAATAATGAGATATATTTTCAGGTTTTCTTGTTAAAATATAAGGAAGGAAGAAACATCCATAAATTTCTATCTAATCTTTAATCCACATGTTCACTGATACAGTGCTAGTTCAAGATATCAATTTTAGTGAGCATGTTATGTTCAGCAATATGCACAACAGAACCACAATTAGTAAAACGACAAGCAGCAATTCAAAGTCTAAAAAAACCATGTTATCATTATTTAATACAGATTATTATGTTGAATGGACGAACCACTTCAATTTTCTCGAGGAGCATTGATAAGATTAGGACGTCATCAAAATGAATCTAGGTACCTGATGGGGAATTAGCTATTGGCTAATCTATGGTGTTGGGATAGTCTCTGTGTGCAAAATATGAGAAGAAAACCTTGACGTTAAAATATCATAAGACCACACATCTTCAGTTACTGTAAATCATCCTCGTAGATGTGGTTAGATATAAAATGAGAAATTACATTAATTTTTACTCTCAACATCAACCCAAAGTTGATGGTACTAAACAAAACCAACTAACAAGTCTGTTACTTGGGAGCATAAACAGGTGCAACATGAAATTTCTTTTTGACAGTGATTTAAAATCTGACAAGTCAGACAGAAGATACTATAACAATAACGAAGTTTGGAATCCTAAACAATGAGGCACTTGCTAGGGCTGTCTGAGACTAACTCTTATACAGACGTTTGTTACACTCATTTACCACAATAAAGCATGAAAAATGCTGCACATAATTTATTTAGTAATCCATTTTCTCCAAGATCAGTCACACTTAACTAGCTCTCCTACATGAGACACTAATCTTTTCACTTGGCTTAAACTAGATAAAATTTAGGGTTAATATTAGCTTCTATATCCAAATTTACTATTCTATAGGTTTTTGGATGGCTAACAAGTGAAAGTAAAAAGTTTCAAAGTTCACATGGGCACCAGCTAAAAGAAATTTCAAAGCTTCCATACATTAAACTAGGAAAATAATGCCTTTTGCCAACACAATTAAGAGGGGGCCATATAAAAGTGGATCCATGAGTAATAGAATACGATTTCAATTCACTACAAACAAAATCAACAGTAGAAGAACTGCTCTACAGCAACTGCTGCCCCTGATAGCGGGATGAGTTGGCATAAATTTAGGGGAAGATGGATTACTGAAGCACCCAACATTCATTTTCTCAAGTATCAAGTAAAACCCAATGCTGGAACTCAGGTTAAAAATGTTGTTTAACTCAAGAATTGAAACCATACAAACTAGACTAGCAATAGCATCAACAGGGATCAATTATGAACATCTAATAAATAAAACTGCAAATAGCCTTCAATATATGGGCAGGGATCAGTTATGAACAGCTAATACATAAAACTGCAAATAGCTTTCAATATATTGGGCAGTTTCTGCAGGGAAATTTATTTATCATGCCCAATAAGGTGGAAATTAGAAAACATGAAGGATAATTACAGGATTTCAGTAACCATTCAAGTCAAAATGTATGCAGTCTACTCATAGACCTCTGCCAAAATACAAAGTAGAAGACAATAAAAAGCAGAGAGTTGCGGCATGATAACCAGGGAGGGAAAAGATGAGGATTACATGAAGAGAGACAGTTATAGTATAGTAAGCCAGTTCAGTGAAAAATAGTCAAACAGTAAATACATTAAAGAAAATATAAATGGCACCTTGGGCTTCTCATCTTTCTTCAACTCCTTTTTGTGGGACTCGAGAAACTCTTCCTTTGACATGCGTTTCCCTGAAACAGAGGACAGACATAAATAGAGTACTTCAATTTGATTAATGAATACTAATGACAAATAGAAAACATTCAAGACATACCAGTTTTTTTGTCGCGGTATACAGGTTTGGCATCACGACCACTTACTGAAGGATCTAAAGCACTAAACCTAGCAAATGAATAAGACAACAGTTGGTAACACTCTTCACATGGACCGAGTTTTAATCAGGTAAGTGGGGANAAAGAATAAAGGGAAATAAAAAAACACACACCCACTTCACAACCGGATGAGGATAATGATTAGTAATCAAAAAAGTTACAAAATGCAAAATGTAACAAGGCTGGTTCAATAAAGCGCAACTAATTTCAAACCATGAATAACCTATTTAAACTTTACATTATATGACCAACCAGCCTATTTGTACCATTACATTAAGCATATAACAAGAGAGTTCGTCTGTGCAAAACAGAACCGAAATAAATAAAATATTTAGAGGCGAGAGGTGTATATAACTATATATGAGCCAAAAACCTAAGACCCTGTCCAGCATTTACAAGATCTTGTTAGAGCTCACTTATATTCAGATTTCTCAAGTTAATCAACTGAATAAGATATAAATATTATGGATATCACAAATACTTACATGATAGCTATACAACGTTTAGCAGATAATGAGGTGAGGGAGGCAGTATACACAGAAGAAATTTGTAGTTTACCTCAACCAATCATCCTTTTTCGTTTTATCAATTTCATCTTTGATATCTCTACCCGAAACTAAACCAGTTCTGGGATGATGTGAAGATGTGGGTGATTCTTTCCGCCTTCTCAGAGGAGAAAGGTCCAAAACCGGAGGCACAGCATCGTGAACTGGCTTCTTTGCACGGACAATTGAACTCGACCTCTCATTCTTCAACTTCCTCGGAGGTGAAAGATCAGATGAGTCAGGACGAGCACGTCGAAGAGGAGAAATATCTGAATCCACCACCTTTGGTTCTACATGTGGTGAAGGGCTCCTGTAACGCCTGCTTGACTTTCGTGGTGGAGATGAATCAGAACCTGCTGACATGTGGCCTGCTTTTTGTCCAGGCCTGGGTGATGGAGTATCATTCCTAAGCCTCCTTTTGCGAGGTGGGGAAATATCAGCATTTTGGTCTTCGGATTTAACAGTACTGGGGATAGTAGATATCGAAACCCAGCCACTTCCATCCTCAGAAAGGACACCAACAGGGCGTTTGGACCTGATCTGCTCCAGTCTCCTCATACGCTTGACTTCGATGTCCTCATCAACTTGAGGCATCTCTTCATCTGTAGAAAGTATCACAATTTTAGTTGAAGTTTGAGGATATAAACCACTGTGCATGGGAAGGGGAAAAAGTTCAAAAAAGAAGCATTAACACCAGCTACCTGCCGAGTCTTTTTCTTCATCGTCGGGTTTGATAGGCTTTTGCCAAATGGGATCTTCATCCACAACAAGAACTCTGGTTGCCGCACCCGGTTTAGCCTTTTGCTTTTTTTTATTTTTTTTCTCCGTATCTTCGTCAGTTGTGTACTTCTTGAGATACTCTTTCAGTGAAGTTGACGCTGATGACGTGCCCGCCATTGTCAATTTTAACAAGCTGTTTTGGAATTATAACTGAGGCCTTGAACTACTACAGTCAAATATGAAAGCGTCCCTTGTCACCAATCAGCCTAATTAATAGAAAATGTAGGATGTCAACAGACCAGAAGCAGGAAAAGTTGAGGTTTAAAGGCTCATAAGTTGTTTGAGAATCGAGAGAAAGATCGCCTTTAGTCGAGCCTCTTTTGATGGCTAAGAACGAGTTATTTTTAATGCTGCGATTTTTCTAAGTTTTTGCTGAGTTTTAAAACTCTAATGCGGAGCTTAAATACCTGATATAAGTGAGTTTTGAATTCAATGTGAAGTGGTTAAAAATTTGGGGTTCGAAAGCTTTGAGAATTTTAAAGAGTCCGACGAGAGTTCCAACATCTAACAAAGAGCAAAGTTTTATTATTAGTCATTCCTTCAATTGATAAACTAGTTTACCGTGTTAAAAGTTAGTTATTTATCCGACTATTGCCTATTTTAATGTAGGTGTTTGAGGAGTTGAGCCTCACCGACCTACCGATCTATTTGTGTGCTTTTTCTACCTCGTCTTCCAGGTGTCGATAAACTTACCATTTATGTTAATTTCTATAAATGTTTGGCTTGATAATCTAGGTATGCATGTGAACCGGTAGTCTATGAGGCCTAACTCTAGCCTTTAGAGAGCTTAGTCCGTGTTATTGTATATCTGCTCCCGTCTTTGTTATATTGACGACTCCTGAGGGTGATCACATGAGCGTAGACTGTGTTTAAGGAGGTAGACTAGTCGATTTGCTTATATACTGCGATTATGATTTGCTTACATAATTTGCTTACATGAGCGCAGTATGTAAGCAAATCGACTAGTCTACCTCCCTAAACACAACCTACGCTCATGTAATCACCCTCTACCTATCAATCCTGCCAAAGATAGAAACAAGTCGTCACCAAAGACGGGAGCCGTCAATATAACAAAGACGGAAGCAACCGCTGATATACCATCACACGGACTAAGCTCTCTAAAGGCTAGAGTTAGGCCTCACAGACTACCGGTTCACATGTATACCTAGATTATCAAGCCAAGCATTTATAGAAATTAACATACATGGTAAGTTTATCAACACCCACCTGAAAGACGAGGTAGAAAAAGCACACAAATAAATCGATAGGTCGGTGAGGCTCGACTCCTCAAACACCTACATTAAAATAGGCGATACTCGAATAAATAACTAACTCTTAACTCGGTAAACTAGTTTACCAATTGAAGGAATGACTTAAAATAAAAATTTTGCTCTTTCTTAGATGTTGGAACTCTCGTCGGACTCTTTAAAATTCTCAAAGCTTTCGAACCCCAAATTTTTAACCACTTCACATGAAATTCAAAACTCACTTATACCAAGTATTTAAGCTCCGCATTATAGGTTTAAAACTCAACAAAAACTTAGAAAAATCGCAGCATTAAAAATAACTCGTTCTTAGCCATCAAAAGAGGCTCGACTAAAGGCGATCTTTCTCTCGATTCTCAAACAACTTATGAGCCTTTAAACCTCAACTTTTCCTGGTATTAAACACTAGAAACTAACATATTTTCAGAGGTTTAAACCTCATAAAATAGCAGCAACTCATCAAATATTTCAAAACCCGGCAAGGCTCCGAACATAGCAATTACTATCCCGATTTATCAACAACTTTGAAATACTTATCCCGACTATTTAATAACATTAATTGAGTCACTGCCTGCATTAGCGGTTTCTTGAAAAGTTACACTAAAAGCCTTCATTAATTCAGCAACCACTTGCGTCCTTTTAACATGGAATAAGAGATCAAATTTGCACTCTCAAAATTGTTTATCAAGCTCAAAATGAAGAACAGTATACTGCATTTTTTTTTAAACATGAAATAAGTTGGTTCACATCACAGTATTCATAATTTCCAATAGGCTATTAGTTTGCCAATAATGATTAATTAAAATTAAAAATGCATACTCATCTCTTTATTTTTTTTATTTTATTTTTTACTTATTTATTTTTTATAAAGAAGGGAACTCCAATTTTTAACACATTATAAAAACCTCGGTTCTGTCAAGGCAAATCCCGAACTTCTCATAAAAACCTGAATTTCCAGAGGCTAAGAGCCACCGAAATCAAGACTCCAACATCATCAATTACTCAAATCTCAGAAATTTCTGGAATTTATTCGAACTCTAGCCGCATGAACCTTTAGCCGACTATATCCTTCAAAAATAATTCGAAATAATAAGAGGAGGTATAGATGGACTACCTCCCTCGGGAATCTACAAAAAAGGTTGAAGGAGTTCGGATTTTCGGGCCTCGGACGTTGAACTCGGGCTCGGCTTGCCGCTGCTATCTCTCACGCAGTTGAAAATGGGGAACGTCCGGCACACCAACTCGTCGATGGAGGCTTGCTGGACGTGGACGGGACTTGCTGCTGTTGTACACGGCCGCTGCTTGTCGCGGGGAGATGGGGGTTTGCTGCTCCGTCTCGGCAGGCGCAAGGAACGGCGATCGCGCGGCTGGGAATATAGTGCGACGGGGCTGAGGAATTGAAGGCTGGGGTTATATGGCAGGTTTGGTGATGATTTTGATCGATGATGGAGGTGTTCTGATTGGTGTATATTCATATATATATGTAAAAAAAATAAAAAAATACTTACTCTAGCTTGGAGCAGAGCCGGCCCAGGCCAGGGCCTAACAAAAAAAGGGCACCAATTTTCACTTTATTTATATATATGTATTATTGATTGGGCCCAACAAAATGTAAATAAAAGCCCATACCCTCTACACTTACCTAAGAATAAAGAATAAAGGACACCTATGACCTTTTAAAATTATGTTTTACCTAGTTGATACACATAATTCAGTATTCCAATAACACTATTTTTATCCGTTATTTGTATCTAAAGGTAATAACTATT